ATTTGATTGATATGTTACTTTGGTGTTATTTTCTTTTAACACCAGTGTTAAATAATCTTTTCAGAAATATTCTAATTCTTCAAAAAATATTAAAAATTTTTATCTTTTACGTATTAGATTACACTGGTACTACAAGGACAACACATGTGCTATGACCTTCTTTTTTGTGCCTGCTCATAATTGTAACACCAATACTAGAACATAGTAACACTAACACTACTTTGAATCTTTATACTCTATTTTTCACATCTTCTCTGAAGTTCATCAGAACTTATCTTTTAATCCTTTTTTTCATACAAAATCAATTGTGTTCACTCTATATCTTTACTAAATAATATTTAAACATAATTATTTTCTTGAAGTTATTCTGGTTGCTTATGTTTGATTTGGTCGCCGAGCTATGTAACATCCTGAAATTTTAAAACTCAGATTTATAAAAATAAAATAAAATAAAATATCTATAATTAAATTAAAATTTAGAATAATTTGATAGAGGTCCAGAGTTTGAATTTTGCTAAGAAAAAGTTTGGTTTTATTTGAATTTTTAACTATGGGAAAAATTATCAAAGTTGACCCGAGCTTTTGTGCAATAATAAAAAATATTGGGCCCTTTCTTGTAATTTGCCCCAAAATGTTTTAGCATCAGTTTTTAAAAGTGAAAGCACGCAGAAAACACAGAACAAAGAAAAATAAGGAACCGAACGCGTGAGAGAGAGAGAGAGAGGAAGAAGAAAGGAAAAAGAAAGGGAGTTAGGCTCAGATTTAGGAGTCTTTGCGACCGTTGTGAGCTCGGCTACATAATAGGTAAACTCCCTACTTCAATCCTCTTCTCTTTCTCTTAATTTTCTTCAATTTTTGGATTTTGATCCCAAAGGCTTTATTCTTGTAAGCTTTTGTTTCTTTGAATCCTAGGGAGCATGTTTTGAGTTTCTATATAGTGATCTAATATTTTGAGTGGATAATTGGATGAAAAGAGGTGTTTTGGGAACAAATTAAACCCTGAGAGATTGGGTCTTGCTCCTCAATAGTTTAAGCCTATTGATTTAGTTATAATTTTCCTATTTAAGCCCAATAAGATTTAAATTAAGGTTTGGTTTTCATTACAAGGGCTAATGGTAAAAGTTGGTGGCACTAAGTAAAGGTTTTTAATTGATTAAAAATTATATAAATTAGAAATTAGCCTAGTGATGGCTAATAAATGGTTTTGGTGGTTAAGTGATACTATGTGAATGGTTGGTTTAATATATGGACTATTGGGATGGATTATGGCTCATAGACCCAAGTTGTGTGGTATGAGTTATAGTCTTCATTAATGCTATTTGACATGATAAGTGATGTGATCACTTATATGTTGTAGGGATTGTTGGTGGAATTTGTTCGGAAGTTAATGAACAAGCCAAGTTCTATTTTGTACAAAAGGAACCCTTTTGATACCAAAGGGTTGAGGTAACAAGGGAAATTTATATTTTTTATTACTCTGTTTTAGCTATTTTTAAATAACTATTACTAGCTATGATGCATTACATGTTTTAAAAGATTAAATGTGCTTTATAAGGGGTTATGGGGTACTAATTTGATTATAGTGCAAATATATTTTCTAATTGTTTAACAACAATATTTTTATGGAAACAAGATTTATTTACGTGTATTTTAATCATAAGGAATAAAAGTTGCACTTAAGGAAGTGTAACTAAGTAAGATACCTTAGATAGGCTAAGGAACCGTTTAAGGGAGATTTATAAATGTTATACTACCTTAAAGTGTTGAAGTGGTCAATACTCGGGAAAGGTAGACACGAATAAAAGGAATGATCTCGGTGGGAGTTCACCAATGAGAAGGTATGTACTTTTGATATTCTATGGCATACTGCCAGTACTCAGTGTTGCCTTATGTATTATGGGCTCAGTGCACTAAAGTGGTTAGTGTATTGAGTGTTCGACACCTCTCAGTGGGAGAGGGAATCCGACATATGAAGTGTGAGGTTGAGTGCCTAGGCCAAGGTAGCCCTCACATGGAGAGTAAGTCGGGCTGGCTCTGGGAGGGAGTTAGCTTTGACTGCTCAGGATTCACATTGAAGGGGCATAGGCGGTTCGGTGGATCAAATCATGCCTTAGATTATGTTTTGTACTTGTGGAGGTACAAGTAGGTATAAGGTTTACCTATGAGTTAAAGAGTGCCAGGGGGCATTCTGTTGGTCATGAAAGGCCATACCGGCCTAGGTTATGCATTCATGCATTTTAAATGGCTAAATTATATACTATGTTGAATTTATTATTCGTTTATTTGATTATGGCTTACTTTGTTATAATCAATGTAGATTTCTCTGTTACTGAGACTGTGGTTGTCTCACCCCTTTCTTTTCAATATTCTAGGTCCAGGAGAAGGATCCAGTGGTGGACGAGGAAAGGAGCAAAGCTAGGGGTTCGCTTGTGATTTGTAAAGAACTGCAACCCCTTTCTTTTGAGCAAATATATTGTAATGTATTTAGGATTAGGGTGCCAGTAGGATATGATTATGTATCTGTGAGTGAATATGTGTGGATTGTGTGCTTGTGTATGAATTTTTATCTGTTTGTAGACTTGTTGCTAGGAAACTTGGTTATGGCGTGTGGTTTTGATGGATTTACTGAGTAGACTATGTTTCTATTACAAATAGATATTTATTTTGATATATATGTGATTATACAAACAAATGCAAAGTAGTTGCATTGCAAATGGTGTACTATGGGCAAACATATACCTTGGATAGAGAGAGTGGGTGTGTGGGCCCCACAAGAACTTTGAGCCAAGTGAAAATGTTTAGTATATGTATTTATATAAATATATGGTATTTGGATTGATTTGTGACCACTCTTGGATGATTTGTGCATTTTGAGGGTTTAGGGTCCATTTTGAGAAATGGCACTCGGGTGGTCAAATTTTAATGTATGAGGGTTTTCCATCATTTGAATGTTTTCTCATGTGTTTTTTTGGTCTTATTTGATGTGTCCAAAGTGTTCCCACAGGTTTATGATCATTAGGATGAGATTTGGACAATTTTGGTTTTTACCAAAAAGCTGTACTTTTGCATCCGGGTGTCCAAATCTTAATCCGACCGTTGAATTTCTCTAAAATTTGGCTTACAAGTAAAACTTTTTATAAGTTTTGTGTGGGATTTGGAATCATGTCGATTGGATATCGAATGGAGAAATGGCGCACTCCGAAATTTGGTCTGGAGGTGCTGTCATGACAACATTTCATTTCTGTCATGACAGCTACAGTAGTGATATTGTAACCTACACAAAATTCAATCCGTCCATTGGATGATTTCAAAATTTGGTATGCTACTAGTATTCTTAAAAAGTGACATGTGGGCTTTGGAATCACTCCGATCGGAGGTCGGATGATGAAATGGTGCACTCCGGAAGTTGGTCCGGAAGTGCTGTCATGACAGCTTAACATGTCAAAATTTTAATCCGACCGTTGGATCTTTTTAAAATTTGGTACACTTATAGTACCCTTTGAATGTGATGTGTAAGCTTTAAAATTTCTTCGATCAGAGATAGAAAGACAGAACGGTGCCTCCCTGAAGTTGACTCAGGAGGGCTGTCATGACAGTAATTTAATGCTGTCATGACAACATATTTTTACCTTTCTTTTGCCTAACTTGCTTCCGTGCGCTATAGGTAGAACCTATAAATTTTTTCAAAAAGCTTTAAATGTTTACTTTGCAATTGTGTATTTGTTTAGTGATTTAAATGGTTTGTTTCCTAAGTTGGTTTTAGGATTAATTCCTTAACCACACTTAGCTTATTTGAATTGTGTGATTTTTGGATAACACTCGGGGCAAGTGTTACAAGCTTGCTTTCTATTATATCAAAACATATACATTTTAACCACTTTTGTCAGAAGCATTTAATATTTTTAGCCGTTACTGTATAAAAGAGGAAATCTCTACCGTAAAGCACTATTCCATTGGCAAACCCATCGGAGCACCTCAGAGAAGCTCAGATATTCAAGGAAACTCAAAGCTACAAAGAAACAGATTACAAGCAACCTCTAATGGAAAAATTTATGAGTCTAACAGATCATTTATGATTCTCAACTGTAAATAAACTCATTTATGAAACCTGACGAAGAAGAGGAACAACGAGAACAAGAACATTCTGCATTTATTTTGAGCATCAAAGTTTACCTACCTTCTGTGTATCATTTATTGATAGAGTTTCATTAATTATATATCTACTCTAAAAGAGAGTTTTAAAGCAATAATAGTTCATTCTTGAACTTACTCTGTTTATCCCTGTCTTACAACTTCAAAACAAAGGAACTTAGGCTCGAGAAGCTTAAGGAGATTTATCATTACCTTTATAAGGAAGAGAGTTTCTGATTTATTGAGAAGTTTGTTTATGTACTGAGGCAACCAAAAGCTCAGATTAATCTTTAGTAATATAGTTGAAAATCTCAGGACGTTCCTGAAAACTGAATGTAGACTCAAGTGGTAGGAGTCAAACCAGAATAAATCACTTTTGTCAAGCTCTACTTATCTAACACTCGTGATTGGTGATTTCATTCTTTCATCTCACTTATTATTATTGCATTTCATTTAAATTTTTAATTAGCTCAATGCACTCCCTCTCTTGAGGCATTTACAAAATTCTATCAATTTTAATGACCAAGGTCCTTGAAGGTTAAAAAAAAAAAGAAAAAAAATTCACCGGATTTGGCTGAGGGGGAAAAAAAGAATTTTGCAGTATACATAGAGAGAGAAAATGCTATGTGAATGCGACTTTCAATAATAAATATTAACCTGTGCAGTTCTTTTTGATGTGTTTGTGTAATTGAAGGTTTAGGCGATAAACATGAACAAGTGTTCATGAGTTTCACGAGAGGTGAAGACACCCAAGAATCTTTCCCTTCCTGTCTCTATTCATCTCTAAGAAATGCTGGAATTTCCGTTATCGAAGACGATACTGTGGGCTTAACAGTGAAAATGAAATCTCAATTGAATAGCTACGAAGCATGATTGAAGGTTCTGGATTTTCAATCATCATCTTCTTTGAACACTATGCTAGTTCCAGAAGGTGCCTCGAGGAACTCGCAAAAATCATGTACTTTCACAAAGTAGGGTACATTCAGGTAGTTATGACCATATTCTAAGGGTCCATTAGATGTTATCAAACACCTAATTTTGGACAAGCTTTTCGAAGTCTCATACAAAGAATTTCACCCACTAAATATCAAGTGTTGAGGTGGAGGACGGCTTTCAGTGAAACTGAACACACGGCTAAATTTGTTGTCCCTAATTGCAAGTCCAAGTAATTTATTTTTCTTTTCATTTTACGTTTTATTCATGCTTTGTAATGGAAGCTTAATTTATGTGACACAATTAACATGTGATTTTGTGAATTGACTCATATTATTTAAATTCTATGAAGGTGTCAGGATAATAAAAGTAAAGGTAAAAGAGCAAACTGACATCTAAACTATAAGTTCAAGAGCGTCTAGGACTCTAAATTTATTTTTAGTATAATATTATCTTTTAACTTTTGAAAACGGTATAATCTAGCCCTATCATTAATAACAGCTAATTCTGACCTTTAGTTAACCAGAGAATGATAAAAAAAAAACATCAAAAATTTAAAAAAAAAAGGGCCAATAAAATTTTCTTGATCATTTTTTGTAATTTTTTAAGTCTTTTTCTGTAATTTTTTAAGTCATTATATGTAATTTTTGAAGTCATTTTCAATCATTTTTCGATTAACTAACAATCAAAATTAATTTTTTGAGTTCATATTATAGTTGGTTCCAGGTACTTTTTTGCTCTTTATTTGTTTTTAATTATTCGGAATAGACATCACTTGCCTCATTATTTGGAACATGCCTCAATTTTGCTTGTTCACTACGGGGCAGAATTTCAATTGGATCTTCAAAACTCTACTTTTGTAGTTTTAAATTATTCCGCTCCAAAAGTTACACGAGGTAAAGTTCTCACAATTATAATCAAGTGTATGCATTGTTCTGCTTGCAATATCCTTAAATATTTTATCAAACCTACAATTAATTATTACTAATGTGCATAAATTAAATTATATTTAGTGCAACATAAATAATCTTAACAAAAACATATGAAATTTTTCTTATTTATATATTCAATATTTTGCACACATATTGACATGACCTTAATATCTATTGGACATATGTTACAAGCAATTTCATACACGAGATAAAAGGGCTGGTTCAAGAACATGGAAAGAATGGTATGATCATTTAAACATGCACAAATCATAGTGAACGTATAACTAATCAAATATCATTCATGTGCTTGTAATATTTTTTATCTCAGAGGATTATTACTTTTTACCTCTTGTTTGTACTCTTTATTATTAAATGAAATTACAAGTTTAAAAAGACTTCTCTCATATTTCCCGTGGATTCTCTTCGTCTCTCCCTCCATTCTCTTCTCTCTTTAATTCCCTTCCTCATTCTAAATCCTACAAGTAAGTGATATCGATTATATATAAAGTAATGTGCTCAAGTCAACTGAATGTTTGTTTTGCAGTTGAATAATAAGTGTTTTAGTATATTTTCTCTTGTTATAGCTGCCACTGGCTAGGTCCTCTCGCTTTTTGATCTATAGTTCGTTCATAATATCTCGTCTTCTCTAAACACATGTACCTTTCAAAATCTTGACTTTCTTCATTTGTAATTGTGTTTATATATCCAATGCTCATTCTTATCATTTTTATATGATCGATCGACAGCAACGAGAGTGAAGACGTCAACAAGATTGTTAAGAATGTTTGTGAGATATTAGACAAGAAAGACCCGTTTGTGGTAGACCACCCAGTAGGAGTGGATGATAAAGTGCAAGAAGTAATCACAATGCTTCAAAACCATCAATCTGAAGAAGTTATCGTGGTAGGGATATGGGGAATGGGGGGCATAGGCAAATTAACTATTACCAAAGCCATTTATAATGAAATTGGTCGTTTGAGAGTAGAAGTTACCTTTGAAAGATCAGAAAAGTTTGGAATCATAAAAATGGCCAAGAGCATTTACAAAACCAACTTCCTTGTAAAATTTGCAAAACAACAAATATGAAGATGAATAGCATTGATTCAGGAAAAATCACATTTAGCGATAGACTTCCCCATAAAAAGGCACAAATTGTACTTGATGATGTGGACAAGTTGAGCCAACTGAAAGCTTTAACTGGAAGTCTTGACAAGTTTCATCCAAGAAGTAAAATAATCATCACAACTACAAATGAGCTAACTGCGTAAAATGGGCTGTCGTGTGTATAGAATGAAGAATTTGGATGAAAGGGAATCTCTTGTATCTTTTAGTTAGCATGCATTTAAACAAGAAAGTCCTAAAGAAGATTTCATTGAACTTTCAAGAAACACAGTTGCATATTTTAGGGGGAATTCCATTAGCTCTTTAAGTCCTTGGCTCCTATTTATATGATGCAAAAGTGGAGGAAAGGAAGACCGTATTGAAGAAACTTAAAAAAAATTCCCCATAACAAGATACAAAAGAAGTTTAAAATAAGCTTTGACGGTCAAGTGATCATTGGGAGAAAAATATACCTTAATATATCTTGCTTCTTTATTAGGGTGGACAGAAGTGATGTCACACGGATATTAAATGGCTGTGGGTTTTTGGCCAACCTTGGAATCAAAACCCTTGTGGAGCGAAGCCTTGTGACCATTGATAACAAGAATAAGCTTGGTATGCATGACTTACTGCGGACATGGGAAGAGAAATAATTCATAGAAAACCTCGAAATGAGCCTGGGAAGAGAAGTAGGTTATGATCTCATGAGGATGCACTTGATATATTATTAAAACACACGGTAGGAACTTCTATATCCTATATTTATTGTTTCATGCATGTTAACACGTTAACCTTATGGTACTGCAGAAGTACATGTACTGCAGAAAGGGAAAATGAGCATCAATAAACTAGTCATATATATAGAAACCTTATGGTTTCGCCTCTTAATTTCTATATGCATTTTAAAACTCATTTTGTATTGTCTCATTCTCTAGGAGCTTGATTATGACATGTTTCTATTTTTCTTTTCCACAAACAATACAGCACAAGTGCACACTTATTTTGATAAGCTTTTTATTTTGCAGGGAACAAAAGCTATTGAACTTTGAAGTTTTTGTCAACAACAACAACAACAAGCCTTTATCTCATTAGATGAGATCGACTCTATAGATTGCAAGATGTCATTGTATTCTATCATTTACCAAGCTTTTATAAATATTATTAAACAAGAGATTACGTTCAACAACTTTTAAGAATATTCTCTTAGGTCTTCCTTTATCCCTCTTAACAGGATTTAAAGTTATATGTTCTACTTTTCTCACTGGTATTTCCCACAGTCTTCTTTGAAGTTTTGTCACAAACTAAAAATTGCATTTTCAGACAGAAGCATTTAAGAAGACGAAGAGACTCCGATTACTTTGTCTTGACAATGTACAGGTAAGAGGAGACTATGAATATATTAGTAGAGATCTCAAATGGCTTTGTTGGCATGGCTTTCTTGTGAAATACATTCCTAGCAAATTTTATCAAGAAAATCTAGCTGCTATTGGCTTAAAACCTAACAGCCTCAGACAAGTGTGGAACGAACACTTGGTACGTGAACAACCAGGGTAACTGTTTATCTTTTTACCTTTGGTGCCAGGATATTTTTTTTAAGGGAAAATTATATAAGTCCCATAGAATAGACTTACTTATAAATAAATCCAGTAAAATTTAAAAACCGCAGCTAGATCTTTGAGACATGAATGTAATTTAAAATTAGGGTGTAAAAACAATATTTCTTTTACAGTTAGTAATGTATGATCAGTTTAATTTTTAAAAATATGAAGTTACAGTTATAAAATATTGAAGTAATAGTTGTAAATTATTAATAAAATAGTTATACGCAATTATTGTTAAACTTTGTTGGTAATGCATTGACTATCAAATAAATGAGTTATAATTGTAAAATATTGAAATGGTAATTGTAAAATATTGATGAGGTAGTTGTATATAATTAATATTAAACTTGTAACACATGATCAATTTAACTATTGAATATGTAAAGTTAAAGTTATAAAAAGTTAAAATAATAGTTGTAAATTACCAATCAAATAATTATAAATTATATTATTTGATCGATATAATGTATTTTTAATAGGAGTATTATTATCTTTACATTTTAATTTCAAATTACATTCAAATCCTATGGGACCTAACTATATTTTTGAATTTTACAAGACTTATTTATAAATAAGTCTGTTTCACGAGACCTATATGTAATTTTTTTATATTGATTTTAGGTATACTTTTAATTTTAATGGAGATAATCATGTTTGAGGTATAGTTAGAATCTAAATGTACTCATCTAAAATCCACTCCATTTTAAAAGTTTGCACGCTTCAAATGTCTTTTCACTTAATTCTTTATTTTTTCAAAAATAAAAATAATATTTTAATTGTTCATTTTGAAAATGGTTTATCTTGTAATATCTTTAATGGTTAAAGACTAATTTTACCCTAATTTTTGTTCGAGGAGCAAGGGTTACCTTGTACTAATTTCTTTAATGTTTTCCTAAACTATTTTTTTAAGTAGCAATTTTATTCTTTTGTTAAAGAACGATCAATTTCACCGTGATTTTCCTACATGGATTACATATGGGCTACATTGGTCATCTAAACTAGCTTATTATTATAGGATTAAAATACTAATTTGTTCTTAAATTCATTTTATAAGGGTGATAAGTACTTTAAAATCTTGTTAAAATAAAATTTAATATTTATTTTTTAATGACTCTTGTTAAAAATATTAAATATTATTCAATAATTGAAATATTATTATTTATAAGTATTCATCCAAAATTTATAAATTATTTTTAAATATTATTAGTTGGAAGGATTAAAGTACAATTTTACTCCTAAACTATTCTTAGAGGAGCAATGTTACCCCTAAACTAATTAAATCTGAGCAATGTTGACCCTATCATTGAAATGTCTGTTATTATAATTAGTGAGACTTACTTTTCATGAGTTAAAGTGCAATTTTACCTTTAAACTATTCTCAGAAGAGCAATATTACTCTCACCATTTAAAAATCATAATTTAATATTATAATTTATTTTATATATACATTTAATATAATTTTATGTAATATTATTATAATTTTATATTTATATATATTTAATATTATTTTTATTTAATATTATTATAATTTTATTTTTATTTAATTTTATAATTTTTAAATAATGAGTGCAACATTGCTCCTCTGAGAAAAAATTAGAGACAAAATTACACCTTAACTCATGATAAATGAATCCCACTCACTACCGTACACTTAAATGACAGGACAACATTACCCTAATTTAATTAGTTGAGGGACAACATTGCTACAACGAATAGTTTAGAAATAACATTACCTCTCTGAGAATAGTTTAAAGATAAAATAACACCTTAACCTTAGGTGAAACTTGATACTAGTTTTTTCAAAAATTCATAAATAATTTATAAATTGTGTTTGAAGATTTGTAAATAAAAATAATAATATTGTTGTTGTTGTTGTTGTTGTTTACAACTAAATTATAAAAAAAGACCTTATAACAAAATTAATACTTCCTCTATCGCAAATTATAAGACATTTTTAAATAAAATCTCATATATCAATAAACCTTATTAAATACATTTAACTTTATTTTTTTCAAAACAAAAATATAAACTTTCAAAAATACTCTTCATTAAATAACCTTAAATTTGCACTTAATTAGTATTAAATAGAGAAAGAAAAATGATATATTATAATAAGCCTATTTAATGAAAATTTAATTCTTTCGAAATATCTTATATTTTAAGATGATAAATCTTCATTAAAGTATCTTATAATTTAAGATAGAAGGAATATTGATTAAGTCCATTAAATTTTCTAAGTCATTATCTATAATTTTTTCTAATTAACAATCTTTTTCCAAAAAATTGCACTACATATATTTAATATTTTAATACTTTACAACTTTATATTGAAAATGGGGAAAATGAACCTCTAAATGAACAAATAAAATTAATATTATCTTATTAGATTTGTAACTCATTTTTTTAATTTTAAAATTGAAAATATATTGCATTATATAAAAATACCAATTAAAAACTTAAGGGACTTGCTTTGCATTTTAAAATTTCTTGAGATTTTATCTTGAATAATTCTTAATTGTCATTCCTTCTTATGAGCTATTATATTTAAAAAATAATTTACAAATTTTGGATGAATATTTATAAATAATGATATTTAAATTATTAAATATTTTAAAAGACTTTATTAAAATAAATATTTATTAAATTTTATTTTAACAAGATTTTAAGATACCCAATACTCATGAAAAAAAAAAAGTTCAAGAATAAATTAATACTTTAACCCTACAATAATAATAGTAACCCTGGTCAAATGGTTAATGAGACTCACACATAATCAACGCAGGCCGGTCACATTGAAATTGATAGTTCTTTAATGGAAGGGCAAAATTGTTCCTCAAAAAAATAGTTTAAAGGAACATTACCCTCACTTATCAGAGAGTGTTCAGTGTCCTTTGGAAAAAAAAATCATGGGAAAAAAATAGTTTTTAACTTTACCTTTGATAACAGTAAAGAATCACGAATTCTATCAATTTTAAAGAACAAGGTCCTTGAAGGAAAAAAAATAAAAGAAAAATCAGGATTTGGCTAAAAGGGGATAAAAAAATGAATTTTGCAGTATATATAGAGAGAAAATGCTGTGTGAATGCGTCTTTAAATGGCAAATATTAACCTGTGCAGTTCTTTTTGATGTGTTTGTGTAATTGAAGGCTTAGGCAATAAACATGAACAAGTGTTCATGAGTTTCACGAGGTGAAGACACCCAAGAATCTTTCCCTTCCTGTCTCTATTCATCTGTAAGGAATGCTGGAATTTTCGTTGTCGAAGACGATACTGATGAGCTTAACAGTGAAAATGAAATCTCAATTGAACCGCTGCAAAATATGATTGAAGGATCTGCATTTTCAATCATCATCTTCTCCGAACACTACGCTAGTTCCATAAGGTGCCTCGAGGAACTCGTAAAAATCATGTACTTTCACAAAGTAGGGTACAATCAAGTTGATATGACCAAATTCTATGGTGTGGATCCATTAGATGTTCGTGATCAAAAATCGAATTTTGGAAAAGCGTTTCGAAGTCTCGTACAAAGAATTTCACCCACTAAAGATCAAGTGTTGAGATCCAGGACGGCTCTCATTGAAGCTGAACACGTGGCAAAATTTGTTGTGCCTGATTCCAAGTCCAAGTAATTTATTTTTCTTTTCATTTTACGTTTTATTCATGCTTTGTAATGGAAGCTTAATTTATGTGACACAATTAACATGTGGTTTTGTGAATTGACTTGTATTCTTTGAATTGACACAATTAAAATTTTATACTACATTCTGATTCCACTCCTTTAGAAGGTCATGGTCCCTTGTGATATCAACTAAGGCGTACACAAGAAGGACAAAGACTCAGCAGAAATGGCTCAACATCAAGCTTTATTGGACAAGGAAAAGCAAGAAAACACCGAAGAAACATAGATTATGTGTCAGCATGCACTATATAGAACATGCCTAAATCTTCAAATAAGGGGTTCAGGAGTAGTTTTAGCATGAGTGATATGAATATGTCGTCATCAATTCTAGGTTTCAGATCCTGATTAGCTTATGAAAAACTTACCAACCAACCCATCAGAGCAGAGTCTTTACCGAAACCCAGAAAACGACCCTCAATAAAATCATGCTGGTGAACATGAGTGATCTTTGGTTCCAGAACCGCAGCAATCCAATTTTCATGTAAGGAGCAATGGAGAAGAAAAATACTCAAAAAGACAGCTATTATAGGAGTTAAATAGATCATCTAACTTGTTAAATTACTTCTTTTCAGTGGACTCATGGTTCACAAAAAAAAGGGGATAATATTTATAAAGTAGCATCATGATGACTTGAAAAACATCTATCAAAGAGTCTACAGATTGATTAAAATGAGTGAACACATACCATACACTATAACTGCTGATCAAACTACTTACCTTTCTGTGTTTCATAGTTGTCTTTAGCAATTGAATCCTCCCAGTGCTTCCACTGACGTATCTATACAACAACAGATGAATTACTAATAAAGAAAGAAATTATGAGCATGAATAGTTCATAACATAATTGTCAAAAAGATACTCACTTTCAATCCTCCGAAGAAAACAGTCAGGACACAATAGGTTACATGGACTAAAGCTAGAACAAATATAAAGATACGCAGGTGGTGAATGGCTTCCACAGATAATAACGGAACCTTGTTCTGAAAAGAAAAGAAAGGAGGTTATGTGATCATAGTTCAAGAAATTAAAAAGGAAAATTCATGGCATAAATAATTGACAAGGTTAGATCCTAAGTGCGAGAAGCTCGATAACTAATGTGATAACGATAGTGTCTGAAGTGCATATTCACAGCCAACAAGGAGATCCCAGTGCTCAATCCTAAATAAAGGTTATAAACTGAAAGGAGACCCAAAAGAAAAACAGAAAGAGTAAAATTCTGCTTTGGCAGTGGCAGTGACAGTGACAGATTGATGAACTATGACTTGAGCACGTGATTTCTTTAATTATTGTCCCAGAATGCTGTCCTCTTTCATCTCATCTTCATCCAAAAATTAAATGCCGTCGAATGCTACAGCTTACTCGGTACCGATCAATCACTCAGATTCCGCGTCCAAGCAAGTAAAAATAAAATGGTAAAATTGACATCAAATTGTGAATGGAGATAGGATAAAATGACACTGTCCCAAGCATAATAGCAATTGATGGGCAAACTTGAAAGAAAGTGATCTATCAAAGAACAAATTGAAAGCCCACCAATGTGAACTGAGGAATGTGTAATGTTACCTTACGAACACAATAGCTCCTAGATGACGACGCCCCAGCTAGAAGACGACGAGCAGTTCCAGAAATGCCAGGAAAAGAGAAGAAGCTCTGAAAATGGGATGTGGATGTAATTGATTCTTCGCCTTCTCCTCTATCCGGGTTACAAGGAAGCATGTGGCGGGTCAAACCAGCCGGCACGCGGATTTCGGTAATCCCATTCTGTGTAACCGTCAGAAGCAGCGATATAAAACCCAACAGCATCAACTCTGAAAAACGAACACAGCAATAAATAAATAAATAAAATACCTTCCAAAATTTTACAAAAACTCTGCACATCCACTAATGGAGTAGAGGGGAAAGATAAGAGCAACAAAACACATACTATATTTTAATATTAAGAACAGAAAAAAGTAGATAGAGAGAAAGGTACAGAGCCTTCTTTGATTTTCTGAAGAGCTTCATAGAGTGGCTTCTGATCTCTCTTCCTGAGGAACTTTCCACCACAATGAAGAAAACGCTCGGCGGCGAGTGAAACGGCTACGATGACAGTGCAAACGAGAGCAACAACCCATGTGGGAGTGTGCTCTAATGTCGTCTCTTCTTCCCCGCCTCCACTCATTCCGCTCCCTCTCTCTCTCTCTAACTTTACTTTCTATCGTCTTAGGTCTTAGCCTCTGGCTACTCTGTCGACTCCGTGCACTCATCAGCACTGTGTCCCCTCACCTCACCTTTGTCCGTATATACTTCCGCTCCGCTCGAAAAATGTGACACTGTTGTTTTGCCAGATTGCTTCATCACCCATCCATTGGGTACAGGCTGACTTAAAACTCCTGTTTTACTTTTTCTTATGGGATCCATTTTATTTTTTTTTAAATTATTCCTTAACTCTTTACACGAATACCTTTTTTACTTTCATCACTTTGTTAAATCATTTAATTTGTCATTGGACTGATCTATTTAATAAAAATTACATAAATTCAATTAAATAAAATTTTATGAATTATTATTTTAATAAATTTATTTTTATAATAAAATATTTAATATTTTTTTCTCTATTATTATTAATATTAAAATTTAATTATATTTAATATTATTATAATATTGGATAACCCATGAAAGGTATGGTATACAAAACCTATCTACAAATTTTTCAAAGTATACAACCATCATCATTAGTCTCCTTGCCCGTTCTCATTCACGGCAAAACTTTCTCAATGAATATTTAATAAAGTTGTATTTTTAAAATTTAAATTCAAGATTATTAACTAAGTTAACATAGTATGTGTTTGGTTTTTAATTTATCAAAAGTCAGTTTAATAAAAGTTTATTTGATAAAAGTCAGTTGTTGTAACGAAATTTGTATTTGGATATATTTTTCAAAAGTAAATTTGACAAATTGAAAGTTGTTTGGATTAATAAAAATTTATTCTTTTGAAATGTGTTTTTTAATATGTAATGACCAAAAGAACATTAATTTATGATAATTTATAATTTTTATTATACAAATATAATATATTAGAAATGTTTAAAAAATGTAAAACAAATTTAAAATAACATAAAATTTAAAATGTTAAATAATAAGAAAAATATATAAAATTTAATTTTGGAAAAAAATATGTAATAAATAGTTAAACATTCATTAATATTGAATAGTTGCATGCTTAATGGTTTAATTTATAATACACAATCTGATCTCTAATAAAATCTCGAACTCTATTCATCTCTCTATCAGAAGTTACACTTAAAATTACACTTGGAATTGTTGATGAAAATGCATGCTTCTCATTATCATCATTAGTATTAACCATATTTTCATCCTCAAAACACTTAAACCCAGATTTTCTTCTAATAAAATTATATCTAGTCATTGTTGCACCAACGATATGAACTTGTGTCACAAATGGATAGCTAGGCATGTGTCGTAAGATTGCAAATCTATTTTTTTAAACCTCAAAAGTCCTTTCGATCGTGGTCCTCAAGCTTGAATGACAATAATTGAAAGCCTTATTATTGTTTGCAAATCTGGATGAATGCCTGAAATCTGGGAGGTGGTACCTATGAGATCTATAAGGGCCTAAATATCCACGTGGCATTAGATAGCCAGCATCTAACAAATAATATTTACTTACCAATGAAAAATAAAAATTGTAAGATCCCAAAAAATATTAAAAAAATCATTTTAAATTAGATAAATATGAAATATACCTTAGGGTAGATATGGAAATTTCATGTCCGACCTTGTGACTGCATAGTCAAACAAACGAGCATTATGAGTAGTCCCTTCCCATCCAGCCATGACATAAGTAAAGCACATATCCCAATTACATGCGGCCATTATATTTTGTGTTGGAATACCTTTCCTTCTAATATATTTCCCTTGCTCTTCAACACTGACCACGCACGGGATATGTGTTCCATTAATTGCTCCTATGGCATCTTTAAAGAATGGCCAATATCGCGGATCACCTAAAATTTTTGGATGAATATCTTGAAAAGTGTGATCTTTTGGTTGGATATATTCCTTTTCTAGCTTCTCACAAGCATGGAATACATGTTTAAAATGTCTATGAACAGTCCCTACTGAATGTTGAAATTATTTTTGTGCTATCTTATTCCCCACCCTATATCTAACAATATCTAGGAACATACGGACCATTTCATGAATCCCTATTCTTCTGGTTGGACATAAACCATATTGCACCAGTTCATCACAAAGTTGGAAAAAACATCTTTTTTTTATGTGAAACATGTCATAACAATGCTGAGGATACCCTTGCAAAATTTCTTGCATCCATGCATGACCTGATTATGAACTGATTCTATAAGGCTCTTTTAATAAAGTTGTTAAGTAATTAGATACTATTGCAATAATAGCCTTAACCTCTACATCTTCCACATGTACAAGTAATTGTAATAAGCGAGATTGCGTATTGTCATCCATAAAAACTGCATAGCATAAGTAAACAACCATTACACTATTGTCCATGACTTAACATAAGAAACACATAAAACAAGAGTCAAATAACACAGTCAGTTTTAAAACAAAGTTAACAACATGAACGATACTAGTTAGATTTAAAACATTGAGAAGGCAAACTAGGATTGATCTGATCTACTTTTTTGCCCAAGCACTTCAAATAGACCACTAATGCTCTTCTGTTATCCCTAAGCCCAATATACATGTCCCTTGTGGTCTCATCTAGCAAGGCCATAGCACACTATCCAAGAAGCGCCTCATCACAAGCAATTTCCTTGATTTCATAAAGTTCCTTTGCAACATCTACTACATTTTAATCAACTGGTTTTTTTCCACCCTCTATGGAATTAAGAATCGACTTCAGTGTTGAAACCCTATCCTCTTGTGTGGACACCAATCAACTCATTGAATTAACCATTACAGTTGCAAAACATTTTCCCTTCTTGTTTTCTCAAGCATTGAACTATCTAAGAGGGGTACTGTTACATCTCAAGCATTTGTCTAACCTTGAGATGTCCATACGATTATTGTCACAAGAGGAATCAAACAATTTTTTAACCCCTCTATTTTCTTGGGTTTGAATCTCCAATCCATCTTCCAATGTAAGACTTTGTTGCTTTTATAGGTTACTGGGAATTGATGAAGGAGCAGGAATGCTACTATTTAGCAAGTGCCATAAAATTGAAGACGACATGCCCCCCACATGTTGGAGTAAGTGATGGTGTATTATTTATTGGGGACATCCAAGACCGAATGAGAGAAGGAAACACATGATGCGATAATCCTTCATAAACATAAAGAGACATATATCCAACGCTTTTTAATCTCACTAGAGAAAAGGGCACTTGTTTTATTGCAAGAGCAATTATATTCATATATAATATATATGTTTGATATTATGATTTAATTTTGTCATCAATTACTATATTTGAAAATTCTTGCATTTCATTAAATTTTATTAAAGGAATTGGAATTAATCTTTGAAGGAATGCTTGCAAGCATGTATTATAATAATATTGATTGATTTTACAGTTACAAAATGATTATTTATTATGATTCATGCATGGGAAAGCATCGATGATATTATTTTATAATGATTATATTGAACAGAGCAACAATATTTATTTTTATAACCCATGCATGCTTGTTTTAAATTGGGAGACTGATTTTAGAATGCTGGTTGCTAACGGTAATCTCGTTTGCCCTTAGCACGCCATGGTACACCTAGCTAGTAAGTGCTTGTAAGAGGTGCTAGCCTCATACACAGGTCAACACACATGGAATGGAGGGATGGATATTCGTAAACATTGTATTCATGCTTGTTTCATGGGCTTCGTGCCTATGCTCGTTTTGTAGCTTTAAGTGTGGTGACTTACTCTCATTGACTATGTATCCACACTTGTTGATTATTTACCTTCGTGAACTTTGTGTCTATGCTTGTTAATTGTTTTAATAATTAAGTCCTGTAAATTATGAAATTTTGGAACTTATTGTCTTTTAAATCAGTTTTGCTAAACAAGCTATTTGCTTGACTGTGCTTGGATTTCTCTTTATAAGAAGAATTATATAATTTAGTTGTTTAAGGTAAAAGTCATAACTTGGAAATTGAATCTGATATCTCTATTGCTCTTAACCAACCTTGTATCTATTTGGTTTACATATTTTTATAAGATTGTTTGAACTATACAATGCGTTTCATTTTTATTATGATAATGGTTATTACTCTGAAATTCATAATTGTTTTATAAATATTATCTCCCTTTACTTTCATTAAATCTAAATTGGAACGTTATTCATTGAAAAGTTCCTTTTGGTCTCATATTCATAGACAATGTTGAACTTCTTGTTGACTTTTAAGGGTCACATAGCTGAATCAGGTGGATATTTAATTGAAATTATTTCCTTTTGATGTAATTATATGAACTATATAATGCATTTCATTTTCATTATGATAATGGTTATTACTATGAAATTCATAATTGTTTTGTAAATATTATTTCCGTTTACTTTCTTTAAATCTATATTGGGATGTTATTTATTGAAAAGTTCCTTTTGGTCTCATATTCATAGACAATGCTAAACCTCTTGTTAACTTTTAAAGGTCTTATAGCTGAATCATGTGAATATTTAATTGAAATTATTTTCTTTTGATGTAATTATAAAATTTACGTATTTTATTTTGAAAATATAGTTAGGTGATTCATATAGGCTATAGTTATGATCCCTATATTGTTGCATATTTTGTTACTAGCTGGAAAGAGCAGATCTCCTTGTTGTTGTGGTATTTTG